TCTAGAATAATATTGTCATATATTTATATTAAAAATTAAGATCCTTCACCTTTTTTTCAGTCTTATTTTTAAAAAAATAAGTTAGCTCTTTTATCAACCCAAATATATGATAACGCCAGAAAATGAATGATTTTATTTTATTTTTTATTATTAAGTTTGTGAAAGAATAAAAAAGTTTGTAGGAAGATAAGGAAGACAAATAACATACTTTAAAAAACGAAGTGCGTCTTTTAACGAAAAGTGAGTTTTTAAATTCCCTATTATTTGTTTCATTGACAGTATTATGCGGGGTGTGTGGCCCCCAAGCCGTGTGTGGCAAATACTGACAATCTACTAAACAGGGTAATGAAGATTCGTATTATCATACTTGTAAAAACCGAGAAACACCTACCCCTCTACCTTATCGAATACCAAATAAGTAAAAAAAAACCCCCCTATATCAATAATATTCAATAACTTTACATTGTGAATTTAAAAAAATTTTCCACAAGCCTTCTGTAAAATTCTTGACCCACGTAAAAATATACTAAGACTCATTTGATGTTAATAAAAATTTGTTATCGCTTTTTTCCGAGAATTAAATTCAAAAAATGATTTATCTGTATGTCCTTTATAATTATTTAAGCATATCCTTTATTAACATTTTCCGGTTTGTATATTTTAACATGAAATAAATTAAACATATAATCAATACTCTGGATATTATATCGAAATAATTTTTTTTACAGAACTATTTTTGTCTTTATGCCACAAATATGAACATTAACTATCAAATTGTAAACCATCTGATTCTTTCATATCCATTATTAATTATAAATTATTACATTAAATACCAATAAAGCAAGATTTACTGAATATATTTCATTTTCTTTGGAATTAATTTACTAACTTTAACATTTTTTTTTAATTGTCTTTATTAATGAGTATAAAGATAGTATTAAGCAGTGATGTCAAATGACATTGTCATTTGACAAATTATGACATCTAAATGTTATGAGAATTTATATCATTCAAAAAAAATGTCATTTGCAAATGACAAATGTCATTTTTAAGTGAACAATTGTCATTACTATTAATAATTTATTTAGTAACACATTATATAATTAACTTGTTGACCGAATCTCTAAATAGTTTTACAATCACGCAAAGTTTTTTTTAAATTCGGATAACATGACGTTTAAGAGATTCAAGAGATTCAGGGGAAATTTATCATTTGGTAAATCTAAAGATTTATCGATCTCTTTTTTTGCACTTTGTATCTTTACATTTTGATCTCTCTCTCTCTCTCTCTCTCTCTCTCTCTAGAGAGAGAGAGAGAGAGAGAGAGAGAGAGAGAGAGAGAGATACATTTTTTTTTAAATCATATTCATATTTTTAATATATGCAAGTTAGCATAAATTTCGTTAAATGGTTATATATAAATTTCTATATTACTATAATACTAAAATCGGAACCTAAAAAAATAAAGACTAAAAATCCACAAACTGCCCCTATTAGTGTGGCAAAACTGCCGAATCACCAAAAATCAAAACTTGCAAACAGGTTTCGGCATAGTTTTGACGTGTTATTAGCCTGAAAGAATGAGAATCATCCCTAAAGAAAAAAAGCAGAGGAACGATAGCTGGCGTTCCTATAAATAAAAAATCTCACAACCCAAACTTACCATTCGAAATTCAAGTTTCCAAGAGGCCAAATCCAAAAAAGTAATACTGAAGAAAGATTGAATAATAAAGGAAGAAGTATCGGTGCTTATGTTTTGGGTGGCTGTACTAGTCTTTTAATTTTGCTTCTATTACTCATTGCTAGATAATAATTATGCGAAAATTTTGTAATGGAACTTGCCAAGATTGGAAAGATAGTTGAGCTGACCATCCTAATCAATACTTACCAGCGTGATGAGCGCTGTTGGGGTTGTGATAACCAGTTCAGGAGACGTTTTTAAAGAAAAAAAAAAGAAAGGAACGTTAGCTGGTGTTCTAAAAAAAACTACCACCAAACTTTACCATTCGAAGTTCTAGTCTCCAAGAGGCGAAATTCAGGTCCAGGAGACGCCCTAAAAAAAAAAGATGAAAGAGAACTTTAGTAACATTCCCAAAGCAAAAAAGAATAAAAAAGAAAGCAAACCACTTACGGACTTACCAATTCGTAAATACTTAATCCAGAACGGCCCCAAGGTTTTTTCAGGATCTTTTTTATTTTTAAATTAAAACCAGTTTTATTTAAATAAAAAAAAATTAGAGGGAGCGCCGGAGCAGAGGGAGCTTTTTTAAAAAACAATATCTTAAAAAATATCTTTCTTTTTAATAAGATTATTAACCAATCAGTAAATCAGTATATGAAATGTCTTTAATTTCGGTAGTTAGTTTCACAGTTTTGGAATATCCTTAATTACTTACATCATACATCAGATATAATACTGGCTAGCATTACTGGGCACATGATATAATTCCAAATGAAAATATTATCTGTCATTTGCTCTCTCTGAAATGACATAATGACAAACCTCGTTTATGAATATCTTTCAATCCGCTGGAAATATTTACTAATTTACTAAACTTATCTTTCCAGCTCAATTCTCTGGCCTTTGACATGTGACATGTCATTGAGATCATTCGTGTCATTTCATATCACTTTCCAACACTGCCAATAAGTGTTCGTTATAAATAATAATAATAATAAAATGATTCTTTCTTATGTTAAAGTCAATCAATAATAAGAGGAAACAATTTAAATATTTTGAATTCAGATTGGATAAAATTTATTTCTTTTTTTGGTGTATAAAAAGAATTAAGATCAATAATACTAACAAAAAAAAATAACTTTAATATAAATCATTTTAATTTTGGAAAACGCAAACATCCAATTTTTTTTTTTTTGATCTTTATCGCAGAAACTTCAATTTTCAATTTATAAAAATGATGCATTAATTTGAAATAAACATCGTTGATTTCAGAAATTATAAGCTTTTGGTGCTGCCGGAATGCTTATTAAAATCTAAGTTTTTATTTTATTGAATGATCAAGGATTCCGTTAGGATGATTGGGATTCAAGTCTAAATCTATAGTAAATAGGTCAAGTAATTTTCGCGAATGTTGTTGATCTCATGGAAACCACTACCAAACATCTTGTCAAGATCGTATTCAAAAATTTCAGCAAAAGTTATTTTGTAATTTAGCATAATTTTAGTACGTGAGAGGTGAAGAAAAGAATGCATTGCCATTGTGTAACTTTATATAATAAAACGAAATAACGACTCTAAAAATACATCTCCCTTCATTAATTTGTATTTGTAATATTTTGTAATCATGAATGGTTAATCCAATTTTAAAATTGTTAAAGGAATTTTAAATGAAAAGATGAGAAAATCAATTGCGGCAATTTCAAATGTTACAAGATTTATAAAATTTTTTCAGAAACAATACATTTAAAACGTGTCATGCTAAAAATTTACGTACACAATATCAGACTAAATTACATAGATCTCGTGCGTGTAAACAAAATTATATTGGGCTTCTTTCGTATTTTTCTTTAATAGTTGTGTTTATAATTTTTTATTGTCATGTATACAACTTCAATTTCCTCCATTATATACGTTTCATCACAAACTTTTTCATAAAATCTTTTTGTATGGTATGATACAAAAGAAACCTTTTCTTATCAAGAAGAAGCAATAGAAGCTGCTGCTAAAAACTTATTGATGATACTTATGTTTTCAAAAGTGCATGAAAGATTCTTTCAGGTTATAAGAGAAAGTTGACGAACCACCAGGAAGAAATGATAATTGAGAGTTATCCAAGCTTTGAAAATCTTCTAAATATTGATAAAAGTATGCCGACGCAAGTCAACTTTCAAGAAGAGAACAATTAGAATTTATGTAATTTATGTTATAATTTTATTTTCTAATATAGTTTTTTATTGTCTATTCTTTTATTTCTTATTTCGAAAAAATTTTGTTTTTAGATATATTTTCTAAAATATCTTTCCATAATATGTAATAGAATCATTTCATGTGGGTGGTTAAACTCCGTTATCATTCAGTGATAAATTCTGCGATGCCCTGTCCCAATATTAACACGCCATTTGTATCATTACTCTCATTCACTATTACTGGCGTAATTCATGATTACAATATCAAGTTTCGTACGGTAAGTTCAAACTCCTAATTTTTGAACAAATATGCTGTCTAAATTTGTCAATTTCTTATTGGACTTCTTAATTTATTTGATTTGATTAACTTTATAACATTGATTATCCTTAGTAAATTTGTTGCTTGATTGAAAGGTGATGTATTTATTAACTATGTAATAGAAATATTTCTCCAGTTACTTTAATAAAAATGAATCAAAATTACTTTACTATTTATTATTTTCGTAAATATTGCTGATTCTAAATGTTTTAAAATATTGTTAAAAATCCGTTTTTTAAATGGAATGATAACCTTACATGAATATTAAATTGGCATTTCTTTTAAAAAAAAAAACTTCGACATTGTTTGAATTAAAAAATTTTTTATAGGTATAGGATCAATGTCAATAGTTACGACAACAAGTACGATTTATCGGGGACCCCAAAGGATTTTGGAGGATCAAATTACGATTGATTAATATATTTTTCTAAAATATGTGAATTGTGAATATCAACGTCTATTTTCAATTATGTTCAAATATCGTATACTTCTGAAAACAAGCAACATGTGACGCTCCTTTTATAGTAATTTTTTAAAAAAAACCGTCGGGCTGGTGAATTAAATAAAAGTGTCGGGGGTTTTTTTATAGTCACATTGACACTAATTAATAAATATTTATCGCATGTTGCTTATTTTCGGAAGAATACTGTATATAATAAGAATATGATGCTTTAAGGCGCGATTTTTTTGTTTCTCTTCCGTTTAAATAATTTTGGCAAATAATTCAAATTTATATACCAAATTCTTTCTCATTGTTTATAAAATAATAAATCTCGAGTAAATGTAAATTTTCCTCACTCTTTTCCTTTTTAATATGTGGCCTGCTTATCAATTTATTGTAGTTTTAAGGGTTTCGATGGTGAATATGGTCCGTACTTTCCAAATTTTACAACAGCGATGCTTTTTATTTGGATTATGAAACACATGATTTGTGCTAGATTTGACCGGAAAATGTAAATGATTTGGAAAATGAGTGAATAATAAAATATTATCCTGAGGACCGAGTTTGCGTTTTCTTAGTTCTTTTGCTTTATGCATCACTTTTACTTGCACGTTCAATTTTCTTTAACTGGACTGTTTATTTCGACGAAATTTTTGTGAACTGGGCGATTATCTTTTTGTTTTAATTTTTACTAACGCGTCTTATTGAATTTACTGATTGGTAATGGAAAATATCAATAATATTTGCGTAGTATATGTGCTTTATGAAATTTTGAAAGTAAATGTAATCTAATTAAACAATAAAATATTTTCACAATGATAATGTAGAGGTTGGAACCGGTTAATTAACCGGTTAAAATAGATGAATTTAACTCCGGCCGAAATTAAATTTCCGTCCAGAATTAAGATTTTTATGATTACAAAATATTGTCTAATTCTGGCCAAATTTATAGTACTGGCCAAGGTTAATTTTAACCGGTTAAATAATTTTTGGCCGGTTCACTCTATGATAATGTTCTTTTAAAAAAGTTATTTTGGTTTTTTTTTTTTTAAATATTATCTAAAATATCTTCAAATACCTGTATAATAATAGTAGAGTTTTATTAATTATTCTGGACGTAATACAATTTATATGTCTGTAAGATAATTCTAATATGATGACTTGGGTATGATTTTGTAATTACCATTATGAATACTACAAAGAATTGGATGTTTGTATTTGTATTGCTGGTTTCAATAATTTATCTGATTGACTACGAGATATAAACTTTCAATAACAACATAAAGAAAAATTGTAGTGATTAAAGTATTTCATTATGAATATAATTCTTTTGAAAAACTATAAATATATATTAACGATTACTGCGATAGTGAAACGTTAATCTATTAATCTCAGAATTTACTGTCATATAATTAGTGTTAAAACCTCACAAGTGATTTTTTTTGAAACATAATAAATCATAATGAATACATTCTCGACAAGTAGATATGTTTTAAAATACGATTACATTCGTAAATATATACGTAATTATTACGTATATAAAATAAGTAAGGAAAAGACAGAATTACGAATACTTAAAAATACGTAAACTAAGTATATTGTATACATAATTTGTATATGCAAAATTACGTGTATTATATTTTATCAGTATATTTTATACGTAATTTATATATGTAATTTTTTATATTAATTTATCGTAATATTATCAAATTTATAATTTATTAATTACAAATATTTTATACTATTCATATCCCGAGTGAAATTAGAAATATAACCAATACTTTTTAAACCCTCTTAAATTATTTTGTTTAATCAAATGAATGTGTAGAACCTGACTAAGTTGATATTAAGTGATATATGACTTTCGGAATAATAAATCAGGATAATATGATAATAGTTTTTCACTAGCTTCGAGATTTCGTAGCACATCCATAATATATATATAGTATATATAAATGCACAATTGTCTAATAAACTACATGATTATTTGCATACGAAATTTCACCAAGAACTTTTAGAAATTTACAAAATGCATTGCATGGAAATGATCTATTGTGATGAAGAACTCGTCAAATAGTGATGCTAATGCCATTACCACGAATGAAGTAGCCAAATTTCAAAAGTTAGTTCTAAAATTATTATGTGAAACGCCCGGAGAAATACTTGAAGCTCATATTCTTAGTGCATTAACTTCAACCTATGTTTATTCAGACCCTGAGAAATTACGAACTAAAGAAACGATGGCTATGCTTGCTTCTTCAGCTAGGAAATAATCAAAAGTTATTAAAGAAACTTGTTGAGATAATGATTTCCGAAGCATCTCTTCCTTTGTCATCATCACTTTCACCTACGATGATTCAGCCTGATCTACTTCATTTGTCCTAAATAAGGAGTGAGGCAACTATATTTTGGATTTAGTATTACTAACGAAATAATTTACCATCATGACTTCAAATTAGGTCGAGTTGCAAAATTATCCCCATAATCGTCTTCCGGATGTCTATGTTCAATAAAATATACATTATGCTGGGCTCCAAGTATATTCGGATATTTAGCAGAATTTTGAATAAATAGTATGCCTAATCAACTCGGACATTTCTCTTCTCTCATTCTCTGAGTTTAATGTTGAAATTTCTCAATTTTAGCAAGTAACAATGCGTGGTCGCAATTGGTTTGAGTCCCAAGCAATATAGAAAAGCACAAATAGTATTGATGTATTATTATAACGTGCCATGAAAATCTTATTGGTAATTCTCAATTGACGGCATCAAGGTAAATTGATTCTAAACTTAACAACTAAATAAAGGTTCTGTAATAATTTAATTTTAAATCAGGTCTGTTAACCCCTTTGAGATCACTTTTCAAAAGTTATTCTATATTATAACAGATTTGTGACATTTGAAAGAAACTTTCTGAATCAATATTCTGAGCCACAGCCAAATTCCGAAACAATATTTCGCTCCAGGATATGTGGAGATCGATATATTTGAAATGATTAAACTAGAATATTTCAAGTATTTTTCAAAGTAATCTGACCAATGAGCATTTTAAATATATTTTTCGTGTTTCTACCAAATTCTTATTATTGTTGGGTTGTGATCTTAAAGAAAATAGAGAATTCCACAAGCAATATTTTGATAAACGTGGTATAATTAAATAACGGAGGTTTTGACGAAATAAAATTCTTTAGAATATTCAGTAAGACAAGCGATTAATAGATCGTGATTTTGGATATTTTCCATAAAATTCGAACAGTAACTTCATTTCAGTGCCGATTAACTAGTAAGCATGAACTTTAATCATCAAAAGTTTCATTTAAACAATTTAAGTTACTATGATATTCACAGAATTCTTCGGATAATCAGAATTAATATTTAAGTTAAATCTGTACTTATCTTGCTAAACAATCATATTTAGTATATAAAGAAAATGTATATGATGTCACGAACATAGTAAATCACGTAATTTGTACCGTGATTTTATTATTAAACCAGGGACAAGTACTCTTTTGTCACTAATAATTTCGGTCAAGTTGACCAAATATTCACGTGGGGTGAAAAAATTGTTGGCGAGGGTAGTTATAAAACCTCCAATTATCCTTACAAGAACTTATTATTACAATAGCGAGATCTTATTTTACGGTCTAGAAAATGGAGAAAACAAAAAGTTTAATGTTTCTAAAAGCGCAGTCATCTCGGTTCATATTTTTTTTTTTTTTATACTTTCGGTTCTTTAGCATCGGGCTGCAACGATCGAATATTTTTTTTTCCATTTTTTTTTTTTTTTTTTTTTTTTAAGAAATTAATTCTTTTATTAATTGTATTAATTGTGTATCTCTTCAGCTTGGATCATTTTAGAAAAATGCGATATTTTTTTTTCTTTTTACTTTCGGATTCAATTGCATCAAAGATTTTATTTATTTTTTATTTTATTTTCTTTCGAATTTGATCACTGCGGAAAGTTTTTGTCCCTTAACGTTAATATTGTATTTTTTATAAAAATACTTACTGCGGCATTAAAAATATCGATTTTAATATAATCGATTCCAATCCCAATCCCAAGTTATATGTGTTAGTTTAACTAAAACCTTAATAAACAAAATCTTTTCTCAAACGCGTTCTGAGTTAAATATTTAATTCAATATCAATATCTCAAATTCCAGGTATGTCAACTTAAATTATTAAAGAATCATTTAGTTTCTTATCATGACAAATATCATTTGATTATCGGATACGACATGAAATTGATTTTTGTATTTATTATTTCAACCGAAAATATGTAAAAATATACAATTTAGACGGTTTCGACAAACACACACATATACACACCCCGCTTTATAAATAATAATTTAAGTGTTTTTATAAATCAAGTGACCTTATACGTTACCATGCAAATAACTAGGGAACGGGACCGTTGTTAAGTCCAGAACATCTTAACTAAAAAAAAAATATTGCAAAAGCCAATCAGCATCGACCCAATTTTTGAGCGGGCAGACATCGGGACACTTTGCGTAGACATATATAGTCCTTCACTTCGGACTAATGATGTACGGTGTCGATCATATGATCATATTTGGAATAAACACGGAGTATAAATCCCGTAAACTTACAGTATTATGCAACAAACAATTTACGCTGATTAATCTCTTACAGGTGAGGAAAAATCATAGACAATAAAACGTTTAATTAATGAATATAGCTATTATAGCAAATGGGATTCTATTAGAAAACAATTAATAAGATTTGAAGATGAAAAAGTAATACTTAAAAGATTAGAAAATGTTGAAAGTGCTAATAGAAATTGGTTTGAAGAAGTATATAATTTTAAAGGTATTAATAACGCTTTTTTATAAATAAAAAAAATGAAACTAATCAATTAAATTCTCATTTATAGGCTGAATTTCAATTAATATAACACAGTAAATTAGGATTATTTGTTCAATCTTATAGTTTAACATAAGATAAACAAAATAAAGATTATTTTTTAGTAATAGCTTTATATGATTTAGATTTGAGAAAATATTTACAAGAAAATCATAGTCAGCTTACATGAAAGAAAAGAATCAAAAATAATTTATAATATAATTAACATAATTTCAGATCTTTAAAAAGAAAATTCTATTCATAAAGATTTGCATTTGGGAAATATATTAAACTTAATATAATTGATGCTTGATATATTAATGATTTTGGATTTTGTGATCTTGCTAATAAATTATTAGGAAGTATATATAGAAATCTTTCTTATATAGCACCTGAAATTATTAATAGAAAAGAATAAACATTTGCATCAGATATTTATAATTTTGATATTCTTATGTAAAAGATTTCATCTAGACAACCACCTTTTGCTGATTATGATCATAATTATAGTCTTATAATAAGAATAATAAATGGATGAAGCTGAAAGTAATATCAAAAATTCCATCAAAAATATAAAAATTTAATGATATAATATTGGGATACAGATCTATTAAAAAGACCTGATATTGATACCCTTCATAACTAATTTGTAAAAATGTATATATCATATTATCAAAATATAAATAAAAAATATAGCATTAATTTAAATAATACACAATTAAATATACAAATTAATATAAACTCTAATTTTATTAGTTTATTAATCAGAAAATATAGTATACTTTATAATTTTAAAGATTTATTTAAACTAAAAAATGCTACTAAAGGTTAGCTATTATATTTTATTATATTCATAATTAAATGAAATTTAATTTATTATTTTTAATATATAAAAAAACAAGAAGGTTTTTATTTAAAAGTTTTAAAAATATTAAAGTTTATTAATATTAATTTGATATTTATTTTTATAAAAAAAAATAGCTTATAATAGTAAGCATAATGATCTTAATATATCAGATAGTAAATAATATTAGTTTATGTTTAATTAATAAAAAATTTATTAGATAATATAATTATCTTAAAAATAATTAAAGATTATACTAAACAGAATATTTTTATAACAACTATTGGTAATAATAAATAAGTATAATATTTTTAATTATAACTTACATGATTTAGTAAATTAAAACTTTATGTAATTAATATTAACAAATATAAATATTAGTAAATCTAAAAGAATTCTTTAAATTATGCTGATGATAATGAATTATTTTATTATTGTTATATTTTTTAATAATGACAAAGATAATTATTTGTAAATATTTGTTAAATTATTAATATTTTATAATAAATTTTTATTTTAGAAATGAATTATATAAATAATAAAATTGATAGAAAGAAGCTAACCCAAATTTGGAAGACAAATATAATGAAATTGACGTGATTTATAAATTTTTTTTTACAACTCTGAAAATTTAAAACATACTGTTGTATTCAGTTCTTTCATTTATGTATTTATAAATAATTTTATATTATAAGCAGAAGGAATTATTGAAAAAAATGAAGTAATTGTGACAAAATATTTATTTCAATTGATCAGTGTTGCATCGTAATGTCAAATCAATATATTAAAACTAAATAAAAGCTAATCACTAATAAACTAATTAAACTGCGTATAAAAATAAAATATTAAGGAAATCGGGATTTTAAAAATAATTTAAGTTAAAATTATTTAATGTTAAAACGGCGAAATCGAATTGTATATATGCAATGTAAAAAGGAAGAGCGTGGGATGTTGAGTATAGTTAGGATAACCCTATCAAAATGATCTACAAAGGACTAACTGCAAATATCGAAATCTTCATGCGATATTATGATGTTTTCGGGCGGAATTATATTAGATATAACAATACTAACGATTATATAATGTCGTTTGTCAATATTTTTTTCTTAACCGCTTCTTTCTAAATTCTCACAATTCCGAGTCTACTTCAAATGTTTGAAATGGCAAAAATACCGCTAACAATTACATTTTTGACCGCTCCATCAAAAAGCTGCGCCAATTGACCGCTTCGGCCGGAATTACGGTATTATGTGACAAGAGGAGATAGATCATTGAAACAAAAATTTAATGGTGCAAACCACAAAAGAGTTTTACTTAGTCGCATTTATAAATTAATGTTTATATGAATTATCCTTTATTTATTGCGTCACTTAAAAAAAAAATATTTCTTACATTGAAGACTCCGTAATTATTTCTTAATTTCTAAGGATTATCTAATGCAACATTACAAATACATTTTAAGAAGTACTGTATTTGTTTTAAACGCGAATCATAATGATGTTCACAATGGTGATGAAAATGATACCATGACAAATATCAAGATTAATTGACCTTAAGAAATGTAAAAAATAAATATGAGAGATTGATTAGATAGGCCCAAATATAATTTTGTATTTGCAAAAATCTACATTGAATAATACCACATTTAACAACGCTGATCGTCGAAATTGAAATTAAAAAAAAATTTTAAAAGTTATAATTTAATAATTTGATGAAAATAAAATTAAAGACCTACCAGAAGTAATCAATCTCGAAAGAACTCGCCTAAATAAAATAATAATAAATAAAAAATACAAATAGGCCTTGAAATTGATTTCCGTCTGAAGTTAGAATTCGGGTTCTTAAATTATCACCAGTTTCGGATACAGCCTTATCACAACAGATTTGAGTTCGATATTTTCGCCGCAGAAATCATTTTCTTGGAATTTGCGCCATTTCCTTTTCTTTAAGTTTCTATATCGAGATGAATCATTTCTGCAAGTATTTGATAATTTTTTTTTTTAGTTATGTTCCTTTCCGGATGGGTCGGTCTGTCGTAAAACAGTATTATTATTATTATTATAATCATTATCTATTTTTAACTGGATTTTTATTTTTTATTTTGGATTATTTTTTAGGTGATATCTTTTGGCATCAAATGAAACAAAAGTTATCAAATTTAAAATTTTTGAATTTTTTACTTCAAATTCCTTCTATCAATTTCATAAGTTTTACGGTGATTAAAAAAATTCTGAATTATATGGACTACATATTGGATTAAATTATAGTCCATCTGGGGGGTATACATATAAACTGTACTGTACGAATTTTAGCCAATCATAACTCATTGTACACTTTTTTAATTTTTTATATTTATCGTACAATAAAATATGATTGGTTGTTATCATTTTCGTACAGTACAATTTAGCTGACCGTACAGTACAGTTTATATGTATACCCTGGGAAAATCATCTGTACTAGTTAATAAGGTCTGCACAAGTTGTTTATTAAAATTTTAGATCGGCATAATTCCTTTCTATATAGAAAATCTTTAATGAACATGCATTGCATTGTACCACAACATTAACAATGTTCCGAGGAAACTTCCTTGTGATACTGTTTATGAATTTCTTACATATGGAATAATCTATTATTACATCATAGAATTCCAGTTGGAATAGTATTCTAATTAACCGATTAATGAGGGTAATTGTATAAATATAGGCTCCTTAGTAGGTTTTAAATAATTACACTTTTTCATAATGGAATTTAGTATTAAATGTGATAAATGTCATGAATGCAGCATTCCTACCGTTGTAAGTTGTTGTCAAACTTGTAATAAAATATATGTCACATGTTATGAGTGTCGTGTATGGAAACCTTCCATATGTCGAGCTTGTATTAAAATATGTATTAAATGTGATGAATGTCATGAATTAAGAAAACCTTCCATAGAAAGTCAACGGATTTGTCGAGCTTGTATTAAAATATGTAACAAATGTGATGAATGTCATGAATGGAGAAAACCTTTCATAAAAAGTCAACGGATTTGTCGAGCTTGTATTAAGAAATGTAATGAATTATTTGAATGGGGAAGACCTTCCATAGAAAGTCAACGGATTTGTCGGGATTGTATTATTAAATGTGATGAATGTCATGAATGGGGAAGTCCTTCCATAGAAAGTCAATGGATTTGTCGAGCTTGTATTAAAATATGTAACAAATGTGATGAATGTCATGAATGGGGAAAACCTTCCATAGAAAGTCGACAGATTTGTCGAGATTGTATTAAAATATGTGCCATATGTGATGAGTGTCATGAATGGGGAAAACCTTCCATAGAAAGTCAACGGATTTGTCGAGCTTGTATTAAAATATGTAACAAATGTGATGAATGTCATGAATGGAGAAAAACTTCCATAGAAAGCCGACGGATTTGTCGAGCTTGTATTAAAATATGTAACAAATGCGATGAATGTCATCAATGGTTAAGGTCTCCTCAACGAATAAATAAAGCAAACAAGAAATGCGATGAATGTCATGAATGGGGAAGGTCTTCCATAGATAATTTGTGGATTTGTAAAATTTGTATTAATATGTATAATGAATGTAATTATTGTCATGAATGGGGAAAACCTCCTGACGAAAGTGGAAACAAAGTTATTGACGAAATTATTAGATATTCACGAATTAATACTCATATATTTAGTAAAATGGAATTTGTTTCTTATGATCAATTCAAAAATGTTCAATTTATTGCAGAAGGAGGATTTAGCAAAATCTATAGAGCTGCATGGTGGAATTCACGGGAAGGACATATAACTGTTGCCCTCAAACAATTAACTAATTCTAAAAATATTTCTACTAAGGAATTAAATGAGGTATTGAATCAATTTAATAACATTCTTTATTACAATATGACATACTTATATTTGCATCAAAATTTTAGCTTTGGAGGTATTTGGACCTCAATATCGGATCTCTTATACCAGATTATATAAATAAATATTATGGAATCACTCACGATCCTATTACAAAAGATTATGTGTTAATCATGAATTATTGTGAATCAGGTGACTTAAGACGTTATCTAACAGAAAATTTTTATGATATTGCGTGGTGGGATAAGTTAGATTTATTGAATAAAATTATTAAAGGTCTTGAGTATATTCATGATAAAGAAATTATTCATCGGGATTTTCATAGTGGCAACATTCTTTGTTGTGGAAATCGTAAAATTCTAATAGGTGATTTAGGAATCAGCAAATCCTCGAATGAATTAACAGATGTTAATGACAATAATGACGATTAAATTTATGGTATTATTCCTTATATTGCTCCAGAGATTTTTCACGGACAATATTATACTACGGCCTCAGATATCTATAGTTTTGGTATGATTATGTGGGAGTTAATGACGGGTAGAAGGCCTTTTTGGGATCAAGATCATGATACAGAACTTATTATTAGAATATGTGAAAACATGCGTCCTCCAATTGTTACAAATGCACCCGTGGGTTATATCGAATTAATGAAAAAGTGTTGGCATCCTGATCCCAATCAAAGACCAACAGCTAATCATTTAAAAGTAGAAGTTGAGTATATGGTATCTGTTGAATTTCATAATTTATATAGAATTGATCCATATAGTGGAAGTAATGAAGCAACAGAGATCGTGTTGTCATCAGAAATTGGACCTATAGCAAAGAATCATTCGGGAGCAGTTTATAAAAGTAGACCATTAAGTAATATGATAAGATCTGCAATGCTCTCAAGAAGTCAATCCGTTACAGAATCGGGTATTATAATAATTTTTCTTTTTTAGTTTATATTTATATACTATTTTTTGATTAAGAAAAAGAAATAATGAAATTTTATTCATTGTTTAGATCCATTTGCTTATTATCAAAAGAACAAACTTTCCTCTAATGGTGCATATTTATTTAAATAATCATGTTTTAAATATTAAATTTTATTAATAACTTTATTTTTATCTTTTTTGAAAAATAAAAGATAAAAGAAAGCTTAATGATAGTTTAATTGATGATAACAAAAGCGATAAAAAAAGTAAAAATAATGGTATATATTTTAAATTCCATCTTTAAATTAGTTTATAATATTTGTTATACACGTCTATGCGAATCTATGTAATCGAAATTTATATGCAAATATTGATAAATGTCAGTAATTACATTTGTGCGCATAGTCCTAATGTCAATAAGTATTAGAACATGACTATATCAGTCTGCGACTTAGTTAGTTACTCCTAGAACATTAAAATCCACTTAATGACTATTCTGTATTTATTAGATTATGAATCAACAGAATTGGAAATAGATATTAATGCGAATATTGTGAATATTAATGAATTTAATGAAGGTGATGTGTGATTATGTAAATATTCACATTAATTATATTTTATAAACTAATTTATATATATTTTTTAGAATATTTTACCAGGGAAATTGATCTTGATATTAATGCTCCTGGACTTAAAGACGATATCATCATTTAGAAATTTAATTCTTTAAGTGAATACATATAATGGAAATTATAATTTTACAAAAAAAGCTTTAAAAATTACTTTTTCAGTTGAGTTGCATTTTAAAATGTTCTAATATTCTACATTTTGATCATAGAAGAATGAAGTAACAATTAATTAAATCAGCATATTAGTCATGAAATTTTTTTTCTCATGTTTACTAATGGTCCAGCGATATTTTCAGTGATATTTTAATATCTGCAGAAATATCTAATTTTATATCCATTAAAGTTGTATTTATTGATTACATAATACAATTAAAGAAATAAGAATCGCTAAAATTTATAATTAAAAGTTACATTTTAAAAATGATAATTATCAACAATTGATGGATTTGACGGCTTTAGAGCACATTTAAAGTTTTCATAAAGCAAGTTGTTGTTTTACAAACATAAAAGAACTCATTAAATTTTTTGCGATCAGTAATTCCTACTAATTATGACCAGATATTTTAACAGATTTTCTTTTACTACATTGTCATTATGATATTATAATTATATGTACAAGTTTCGCAAAAGTAATTTAAAAAGAAAATAATAAATTTTTAGAGGTTGTGGAATCCGAAGAGAAGGGAGCAAAATTAATTTTAGCAAAAATAGATTTTAATGATTTGCACGCATGGAAGTTAAACTCTAGATAAAACAGCTACCGTGAAATAATATATTACATATTATTCGATTTATAATTAATAAAATACTGAGACAACGACATATCATGACATAATTAAATGTTTAAATCAAATTAATAGACAATTAAAATTCTTAGATAATGTACGTAAACAACGAATAAATATTATAACAGTCAAAATAATAAAAAAGCCCTACCTTGAACACAAAAAGAAAGTGGAATTATATAATATAAAACGAAACTTGTATAAAATATATATATATATATATATAAATTGTAAAATTTGTACAAATGGTCTTTTAAATTATTTATTTAATTTTTGTTTAATAGAGCATGATCGTAATTCTTACTTATTCAAAATCAAGAAGTCGTAGATATACCTGATCCTTATAAACTCTTTCAATTGCTTTGGCTATTCGTTATTATTCTCACCAATTGCTACATAATTCGCTAAAACAAACCTGGCATATTCAAGACACATGTCGCTTCCATCCTTACCAATAGTTATCAATAGCTATGGAAAGTAATTTGATTGGACAAAAAGCTAGTATAACGCTACCCATCAGTTTTGATTTTCACGTTCAAACCTTTGCTTGCAGACGGTGAGATCAACATGGCTATTCACTAACGATTCAAGATTAGCATGTTTCTTTACCATAAGCAAAAGCTGATACAAGCAAGTCTGGCAAATTGATGTTGCTGTTAGGAATTGACGCGCTTGCTGTTGGCAAATACCTGAATTAAAAATGATCAACTAACTTTATGTTTCTTAACGGTCGAGTTTAGCTTCCAATGGTAACGCCTGTTTTTGGCTGCTGAATTATGAGGTAGATGATTCATGGAAAAAGTATAGATACAAAAGTAACACTTACTAGAATGATAATATTTTATTGTGGTAACTAAAATCTGGTGTGGTAAATTTTACTGCCTCACAGAAGTTCAAGTACGTGTATCCAAACTTCATTATATCTCTAATTAGAAAAGAACAGAAAGTAATATTATTGAACTACTCTTACAAGTTGAGCTAATATTTTATATTAAGTCACTTACCTGATTTTTTTTTTGAGGTCATATACGTCCGCTGTTTTAAAAAATGGTGTTATTTTTTTATTAGGTTCTTCAGTAATAGTGCCACCAATAAAATTATTTCCAATAATCCCGTTTGCAAAATAGCCAGAAAGCTATCCAAATTTACAATGATGAAGGAATGATGATATCAAAAGCAGCAATGTCAGGTGTGACATATGACCAGGCCGCATCGATGAAGTTCATAATGTCCATGATAACTGAATTGAAGCCATTTATCAAAAAGATTTCTCATTCGTACATTCGTATTCACTTTTAAGCTTAAACACTTACCTTTGTAATATTATTTTCTTAATGTTACCTTTGATAACAAGCTGTCCTCTAATAATAATAATTGAAACAAGGAATATACAAAAGAACTTGAGAAAATTCGATTCGATTTTACACGTCAACTCTCATTCAAGGAATACCTTCGAATCTTATTATAAATGCGTCCATGTTTATAACCAAACCAGTAAAAAATATTAAAAATCGAATCCCTTTGTGTTTATATCTTACCAATAAATCTTGGATGTCTTAAACTTCAGAGTCATGCTTCCAATTGGGCTATTATTTTTCACAAAGGCTGGTCTAATTTATTTTGCCCAGAATCTTGTTCCTCGGTCTCAAATAAAAAAAATGTACATTTAGATATTGAAAACGTTTATCTGAAAACCTAGTCTTGAGTTATTACCAAAAATTTCCTCATTGCATGCTCGCTTCACTGTCAATTGAACTTATAATGCAGTAATTTATGAACTCGGTAATAGATTTTTATTGGATAAATGGTATCATATACCCTTTCTGAATCTGAAAAGAGATTAGACATCTACATTAACGGTGAATGGGTTGGATACTATTGTATCCAGAATGTTAAAACGGAAAAAGTTGTCTTCAATGATGGACCATTGTAATTGTTTTGTAATAAAGTCTTTGGACTCTATAGCTAATTAAATTCTTATACTCGAATTTCGTTTGTAAAAATAATTATATTATGATATTAGAATTTGATTTTCGATATTTTAATAAAACTCCACTCATTACTGTACAGTTAATTTAACATAAAAAAAAATTTTTTTAAGTGGCGCAAATTAGATTCGATGACGATTATTTTAAAGTACGCATTATATGAAAATGTTACCTTCATAATAATGTGAACAATACGGATTTGGAATGTGACAGATATGTTAGATTCTCAGGATAATAATTTACTAGAAACGATAAACAATACCACCACGTTATCTGATTTATGCAACAAATCCATATTCCGAATCCAATATGTTATATTTAAAAAAAATTTTTCGGTACCTGATCCAGGTTTAAACAGGTTTATTTTTTTTTTTAAAAAAAAAAGTAAATTTCCTAATAAGTAACGTCAATTGTCATCAAAAATATGGCTCGGGCAACCGCGAATTTTAAGAAAAAATATTTTTGCCCTAAGATCGAAAGATAAAATCAATAAAAAAAAAAAAAATTCGGTCAAAATAATATTTAGAACTTTTATAAAAATTTATAGGCTTTTTCACTGCGACAAGAAAATTCTCATTGATGACTCTGACTCAAAAGCACGAGATCATTATGTAATCGAGGTGGTGTAAATTTTTTAATATTTGCTAAATTAAGTAATAATAGATATGGGATGGACTAAAAATATATTAGTTATCTAACGGACCTTACATCTTTTTTTTTTCTTTTTCTCCTCGTACTTCTCATAACTAAAACAACATTTTCCAAACAACTTTCTAAACTAAAACTTTTCGAACGAGCTTTTCCAACATTTTCGTGCTATAACAAGGTATTTGTTGCATTAGTAGTGGTTTTCCATTCTGGTTACGAGCTTAACAATATTCGCGAAATATTGTTGACCTACAGTTCGAATACCCGGGATGTTCATTTCTATAGATAAGTATTACCCCAGTGCTATAGCGTAATTATCTTTACGAGGTCTTACATTGACACTTAAGATCTGACTCCCAACCGCCCTAAGCACGAATTCCTTACTTTTTCAAAAATACCTAGATTAAAAGTCTAATTTTGCTTTTTTTTTATTATTCTAAAAGGTATATCAGCGAAGCTATGCAGTTGGAACTCTTTTCACTGTGGAAATTTATTTGTACGCAATCTCTGTCACCCAACCTCATTAAGCACGAATTCCTTAACCTTTCAAAATACTTAGATTAAAATCTAACATATTTTTTATCATTCTAATAGATCTTCTGTTCCTGTTTCTCTTCCTATCCCTCCTGTTTTTTCTCTTCTCTTTCCGCCCTTCCTAATACTACAACATATCGTTCTCCTCCTTCCCTTCTTCTTTAAGTTCAACCCCTTATTCATCCCTTCTACTTCTCCATTTCTTCTTTTTTTTTAATTCTTCTACTTCCTCCTTTACCCTTCGCATTTTTGGCCGTCCCTTCGTCTTCTTAGGCGACCGGAGCCGATGGATCTTGATCCACCAGGCATTTTTATCGAAAACCTTTCATCCCACCTAATCAGTGCCTTAACCAATGGATCTTAATCCTCCTAGTATCTATGTAGCCATTGATTATGGTCTTTACCCCTTCCTCTCCGTTTTAACTGGCCACCACTCCTTTTTTTTTTGCGTCTTGGCTGGCATATTTAAAAAAAAATAAAAAAAATCATTTTTTAATTTTCACTAGGTGTTTATTTACTGTATATTTGATAAGCATGATCTATTATATGATGTTGGGCGTTTCGTTTTTCCTTTTTGCAATTAAAATATTCCCCCTTTGGCCACTTCATCTGTATTGTTTTTTATTTTTAGTTTAGAATTTATTTTATTTATTTTCTATATATAAAAAAATTATTATTATTATTTATGTATTTCAATGATGTCTTGAGGTGAATTTTTTTATTTATTTTTTTAAATTTATATCCTATTATATTTCGTCTTCACATTTTTTTCATCTCAAATGAGCTATCATATTTGATATGTGGTGGTTCACATTTTCTTTACCTGAGTGAAGCTTGCTACCTCCACGCGGTGTTCAGGAGAAATGACTATCAGCTATAGTTTGAATTATATCTGGCTAAGCGCAAGTTTTATGTCCTATTAAAGTGGTAATTGCATAATAATATTTGTAAATACTAAAAAAAATTCTTTTTAATATTATTACACAATAAACGAACAATTATCAAGAAAATCTTCCTGATCTTATTGAAAAAAAAGTAAATTAATTCGATGTGCAAAAAGTAAAACGTAAAATATTTATTTTTTTATAAAAAAAAATTATTTATAAATGCATTTTCTTTGTCGTCCTAATAATTTATCCGCTGCAATCCACATGGCACATTAAACCTCGTTTCTGTTATACAAGTAGACTAAAAATGAAAGATGAATATGACATAATCATTATTACGAAAACCGTTGTCACTATAAATGCCTAGACTAATTACTACATTTAATTTGAATTTTTACATTCTTGTTTTATCGACAACGAAAAAAAGTGAATTAGATCGAGCTATATGATTTCAAAATTTTATATTTTAAATAATTTTCAAATAGAACAAACATTGAATTTTTCAATCCAAGTAAATCTGTATTTCGATTTACAAGGTAAACATGTTTGACCGATACATTTATAATTTAGCAAATGAACTTAGATGCTTCGATGAATATTTTTAATATGGATAAAAAAATAAAGGCATTATCCGGTACGTTTGACGATTTTGCATAACCATAGCTGATATACAATAGATGATAATGTCTTAATTTTTAATTTATGAAAAAATGATAATTACATAATTAACGTGTTATTCATAGTTAAATCTTGTAATCTTCCCAGAAAATAAAAATAAAAATTATCTATGTTCCAACTAATAATTAAGCTAATTTTGGGAAAAAGGTTGCAATTTAAGTTGATGTAAGTGGCTTAATTTTAGCAATGCAACGTAATGAGTTAAATATTGCAAAATATAATTTCGCAAATTTAGTAATATGCATCTCGATAAAAAATTTTTGTTTATATGAAGAAAAAGATTTATAATAACATAAAATGTGCGACTGCATTGCAAAAATTAAAGTTGTATATTATCTTTCGCTCTCAACTTTAAAAAAATTTCGATTATTGAATTTAATACACAGATTTTCCTTTTATGGTATAGTTCCATTTCCAGATAATCGAAAATAATATGAATTTTAGAAGCTAATAGAAAATGTACGAGATATATTTCTGAAATGACATTTTAGGTGAAATTATGTGACGATCACACGAGCACATTCACTGTATAATACATCTTAAAGCATTTTTAGCTTTAAATTTCTTTTACTTTTTCTTTTTCATTCTCTCCTAAAGAATAAGGAGAATATGTGTTCGCTCAATTGGTATACATTTTCTTTTTGGTTTCCATCAAGGCCGTAGCCGTAGGAATACCTCTAGTGGAGGTATCAAAGAATCCGAATCTAAGTCCCGGGTCGAGCGAATATCATCTTCCGAATGTAATAACTCGAAGTAATCAGTGTTTCAGAATTCTTATTGCAGGACAATTGTCTCGATGAAGTAATCTGTAACACTTCAAATAACCAATTTCTTATTGAGAGTTGACAGGAATGTGTGTTACGAGATGTATGATCCGAACATGATTTTAATAACACATAATATATCACTTCTAGTAGAAAATTTTACTTATGCGTAACAAATTAGCACACGTGACGGATGTTTACATATGATCAAGAAATCTAATTGGTACTACATGGTGCTATGCTTAGGATAAAATGGATAAAATGATATCAATGATCACACGTTAAAATTTTTTTAAAATAAAAATATAAAATTGATGATCACTATTTCTTCTTAAAGGTAATTATTAAATAGATTCATTTTATTGTCAGTTCTTTACTTTCATTCATTCATTCTTATTTTGCAATGAAAAATTTTTAAATAAAATTAATAATACATTCTATTTTGTAACATAAAATTTATAATTTAGCACTTTAATAATATTTCTAAATATGTGAGTGACTTCAAATCATGATGACGATTATAACCACACTATTTATCAAAGACAATACATGCATTTAACATATATGAAGCTGGGAAGAAAGTTAATATTTTTCGCAAGTATTATTCTATAAAAATAAGAGATATTTTTTTCGTCAAATAAAATTTTTGGGAATGAGTTTCTGGAAAGTGGATTTGAGAGAAGAACTGTAACATGTTTAAATAAAAATTTTTTTTTCATTGCGCAATTTAGCGCAGTAGATTAAAGATAAAAAAAAAATAAAGTTAACTCGCAACT